CTTGTGATCGACCCGCCTCGGCCTCCCAACGTGCTGGGGTTACAGGTGTGAGCCACTGTGCCCAGCCACAGGGAAGGTTTTCTAGGTGTTGTGGTATCTGAGCTGTGCCTTACCCAGTAGGAAGGAGATAATCAGGGGCTGGGGTCAGGCAGGACAGAGCAAGACACTGCAGGCAGAGGAGAAGGATGAGCATGGGCCTGGAACAATAAGCAGCAGAGTATCTGTCAGAAATCATGTGCAATTGGGTGTTACAGAAGCAAAAGAAACAAGAGAGGAATGGTCCCTGGGAGAGATTATAAACGGCTTTGTATACCAGGGTAAGGACCTCAGATTGTATTCTGTAGGCAGCAAGGAGCAGTCCGTTCATTCAACAAATGTTTCCTAAGTGTCAGCCAACTGCAGGGCACTGTGATTGATAGTCAGGATGCAATGGTGAGCAAAACTGACACAATGTCTGACCTCACAGAGCTTATGATCTGATGGAATGGAACTCTTTTAAAACTTGGGATTGATGAGGGCCTTAACAAGAACAGCAGTCACGAATATGGAATGGGGAGATTTATTTCAGAATGATTTGGGGGTCAAAAATAGACAAGATTTGGTGACTGATTGAATGGGGAGGGGAGAGGGAGAGAGAGAGAGATCACATGAATGACTCTCAGGTTTATACCACAGATGGACAATGTGATACTTTGTGATACATGGACATGGAATAAAAAAGAATGAGTACAAGGTTTGGTGGAGACATGGAGAGTTTAGCTTTGGACTTGTTGAGTTGAAACAAGTCCACTTTCGGACTTCTTGAGATGGATGTCTTTGCATGGAGATGGTTTTGCAGGTAGTTGGACATAAAAGTCTAAAGACCAAAGAAGAGATTCAGACACACACATTTGGTAGCATATAGGAAATCAAGCCACTGTGGAGGGAGGAATTATCCAAAGAAGACCTGGACAGTGGTAAGAGGACCTGATGTCTGTCCAAATTTAAGGCATAGATTGAAAAAGAGCGAATAATAGAAGAAAAAAAGGTCACCAGTGGGTAACTTTATTCAGGAAGGCAAGATAGTTTTTGAAGTTGCAGTCTGTTGGTTGGAATGTTGGTGGCACAGTGACTAATGAACAATTCAGATTCATTCCCTAAACACTCGGTGCCTGCTGAACGTGAGCCATGCATTGTGCTGAGGTAGGAAAGGAGAAGACAGAGAAGATTAAGATACCACCCTCACTCCTGGAGGACCCTGCAGTCAGGGGAGGTCATTGCTTCTATTTTACTACCAGATGCCAGTAAGATTGCCTTAGAGATTGAAAATTCCATACATTGAATCATAAAGGACCCCCAAAGAACTTATTTTAAAGTGTTCTTAAGAAATGATAGAAGGAAATGGGAGTGTTCAAGCTGTCAAAGAGAGAAGATACGGCGAGAATCATAGCTTGCTTCAAATATTTCAAATGGCTGTCTATTGGGGCTCTAGAACTGGGAAAACCATGAGGAAAAATTGAATTAGTTTATATATTATGTATCAATCAAAAAGAAATTAATGATGGAATGAACTTTCTAGCTGTCTGCCTCCATTCATGACAACAGAAATAGTGTCTGGAGGACATTGGCTGCCAATGGCAAGTTCGAATGCAGAGTCAATAACCTTTCAGGCCTTTCCAGCAATATTTTGTTGTTTTGTTGCCGTTGTGTCTAGCCCTGTGAACATCTCCTAGAGCAGTGGTTCTCAAATTTTGAGAGAATGGCATACCTGTTTGAGAACCTGGTAAAAAGTTTGAATCCTACCCCTTGGAAAAAATATGCAAGTATGCACGTAAACCCAAATATTGTTCCAACAAGACCCCCCTAAAGTCTTTCATAGGAGATTCTGGACCTCAGGTTAAGACCTCTTGTCTTAATGGATTTCCAGTAAGTAAGAACACAACCATTGCTTTCTCTGAAATTATATACATTGAAGAAAAAAGCCTCTTTGGGACTTAATTTAAAACCATGACTAAGGTTTTTTATTAATCTAATGCCATGCATTCTTGATTTTATTCTGTCAGTCTTACATTACAAGTGGCCCCAAGCAACTCGCAACTTCACAGATATAGATACATAATCAGATGCACATATTTTATTCTAAAAGTAATAATGATGTTTGGTGCAACCACATATAGTCACAGAGATATGTTACTGTAACTGAGCTTCTCTGTAGATGGATTTGGGCGGAGTTTGTTCTGATTAGGGCTGTCTTACATATTTATACTGGAAGAGTTCATGAGCTATTTCTGATACTGAGACTTTAATCATGCTTAATGAACTGAACTAAGCATAATTCTCATTCTGTTTTGGTAACTTTGTGGATTTCTTCTAATGCTCAGTTTCATGTAACTACATCATTCTTAAAATGCTAATACACAAAATGCTAATTCAAGAAAGGACCACAAAAGTTAGATTTCTCTTCAGAGAAGTGCATTCAGTATTCACAGGCCTTCCGGAAGAGCAAGGCTTTGAGAAGGATGATATTAGGTGGAAAATATTGGCTCCTACCTTCGGTGAACACACAAATTTAAACATATAGGTTGCACAAAATTTGGATAAACTGAGGTGGAATCCAACATTTCTTACATGAATTCCTGTATAATGTGGCAATAGCTGTGAGAAAAGAGGAGCCCAGCATCTAAGGCCCAACACAATGAAAATGCAATGAATCGGAATGCCTCACAGATCATAGTGGAATCAGAATTTCCAGCAAGGAAAATCTTTTCATGGTGAATTAAGTGGTGGATGAAGAAAAATGGTGATGAAAAAAGGTAGGCACAGATCACAAACACTGGGCTCAGGGCTCACTGCTGAAGATTTAAGAACCTTAGCAAAAGCTATGCAGAATAGAATGTGGAAAATTGAATTTACTAAACAATTAAGCATTGAATTAATCTACATCCTGCACAGTAGAAAAGTGGGGGAGGGAGCAGAGCAAAGCTGAATAAATCAGTGGAGCTCATTAAAAGATAGTGAATATATCAGGTCTGTTGTAGCATACAGGAGGACAGTTTCCTGTATAACAAGGAATAATTCTTTGGTTCTAAGTCACCTTTTGGAGTCCTAGTCTTAATCAGATTAACAAACATGCTTCTGATGAGGTTGGTCTGTGGCTCTGTATTTTAGCTTGTTATCGCTAGCTTTTCTATTAATTACCAGTCAGATCACCAGTCAACAATAGTAGTGAGGGACAACATAAATAAAATGAGAGTGCCCAGGAGATGTCACTCGCAGGATCTCATGCATCCTGAAACTCCCACGGGTTCCTGCAGCCTCCCACATGCCTTGCTGGTCTTTTGTTCAATTACAGTTAATGCAATAGTTTGCCATTTTCTCTTTCTAATTATATTTTCAAGTGGGATTTGTAGCACATAGAAAAACATCCTTTTACATGCGAGGCACCGGGGTTTTGTGCCTGGCATTGTCTGTCCCCTGGGTGCTGTACCATTCTTTCTGCAGAGCTCTGAATAAACAAGTCCCCCTTTTAGAGCTGCAGTTGTACAAACTGAAAATTTATGCATTAACTGTTTGCATTCTGAGCGTGTGTTCCAGATTACGTCTTACAGCATTCTTCTGGTATGCTGCAGAATGCGTGTTTGCAAAAAGCATTTCTTTCACAGTTCACATGTCTTTCAATCACCGAGTCAGCAGATCAATTAGCACTGTTTTTGAGAATATGCATAATGGGTGAGTCAAACATACAAATGGCATATCTCTCTATAACTTTATTTTCATTTTTCAGGCTGCATTCGTCTTCTGGCCAAGATTATAGAATAAGTGACAGTGATGCATCCTGTTCAGGAACAGTGACTCTTTCCCTTTGATTCCTATACAGCCCGCCTCTTAGATGGGATCTTTACTTTTCTCTCCCTGAGTGTCTGAGACATTTTGATCTCCTCAGCCCTTCTTATCTTCTCCAGGATAGGAAAATACTTTTCTAGAAATAAGCAAAGAGCTCTTTGATTTCACTACCCATACTTAAACATATTGGAAGGGTCAGCAAACTCTACTACTATATGGTCATGAAGCGTGACCTTATATGATTGAGATGATGTATACATATTTTACGTACAAGATCATCCTGCTTTCCCACTAATAATCTTGAAGACAAATATCACTTCCTGGCCAAAGACCAGCTTTGTATTTTGCATCATTCCTACTGTGCAGGATGACCGGTGACTCATGAGGCTGTTTTTGAAAGCTAGCACCAAAAGCTAATTAAAGTCTTTTCTGGTGATAAAGGGAGATTTGGGAGAAGTGTCGCCATGATTGTTTTCCTCAAGAATTTAATTTACAGCCAGTTTTTCCTATCTGAATGTTACTTTCGAATGCACCCAGTGATAAGAAGCAACATCTGTTTTCCGTTCAATAGTACAAGAAGGCTCTGCATGGGGCTGAGTGTACACAGTCCATGTGAATCTATTGTTATTCTCATTTCTTTTTTGTCCCCATGCCTGGTCCATTTGCCATGTACCATCCGGCAAACAGCTGACACATACTAGCTATTATGGACCCTGGCCTAATTATGAGGTCTTAAAAGCTCTGCCATGTTTGTCTTCTAGGATGAATCAGAGGCCTCAATAAACCACAGTGTTACAGACCACCATTCTCATTTTGCATTTCCAGAGTAGCAGACTGTTGTGCCAGAGGGTTTGTTGATGTTAAAAACATAGTCAGAATCAGTGGTGGCATTTTGTTTCCCTCTTTGCCTGGAATGTTTTTGTTTTCCTTAGTAATAAAGCATGCAATTACTTACAGAATAACTATTTGTAGATATTATTTTAGCTTGGAAGCAGAAACTGGCAAATTACAAATGTACCAGTGCAGCCCTGAGCTGGAACCATGGTTGAAGGGAGATGGGAAAAGTGGCATGGTTATGTGCTCCAGCCCTCCATGGCTTTGTCATTATGCCATGGGATCCTTGCCAATAAAGGTTCACAGATGCCTCTTATTTGGGTTTCTGATTTGTGCCCCCACAGCCCTCTTGGAACAGAGATCATGATGACACAGCATCTACCCGTTCAGGAGGAACCCCTGGCCCTTCCAGCGGTGGCCACACGTCACACAGTGGGGACAACAGCAGTGAGCAAGGTAGGAGAGATGCTATTCTCTTTTGCTACTTGTTTCATTTTTAAGGATTAAAAAATCAGAACTGTCTAGTGAGTTACTATGTATACTATACAGTTTTCCTAGAGGATAAGCCTCCTTTAGCTTGTGAATCAGCTCATCTTATTTTATTCTCCGACCCCGTTTTCTTCTGTGCCATTCCAGCTGCCTAACTGCCTGTCACCTGGCCAGCTTCGTAAAACAGAGTCAGTGAATTGACTGAGGGCAAGATTAGGGAAGTAGCTTAGAAGTTTGAATGTGAATAAATAGTACACCACTAATACCCTGCTATACAAATAAAAAGTATTACTACTGCTTGCCCTCAGAGGCTTTTCAAGTGCTCATGAAGAAACACCCACTAGGATTCTGAGTTAACGATGTCTTAAGATGCTTCTAAGGCCGTGGGCCTTTCAGTAGCACATGCTGGGCTTCCCTCTCCACTGGGTTGAAGCCATTTTTTTCTGGTTTTATTTATCTGAACCTCTTAACTGCTTGGCTTCATTGCAAAGCCAGACTAAATAAAATTTAGGAAGAAATGAAAAGATAACAGATTTAATTTGTGTTGTCCTGTGAATGCACATACCTGTGTGTATGTGGGTGTCCATGGATGTGCATGTTTGACTATAACTAGTAGGAAATAAAGTTTAAACATCAAGCTAATCTTTAGCAAAAGGGCAAATGAGTATTCAAATGTCTGTACTGCTTTTCATGAGATCCCACTGTGGTGGATTTTGTGTTCCATTAATGCAATTAAAGTTTAAAGGAGAATTCTTTATCTGAATATAAAAAGGCTGTTTTATTGAAGCTGACTCTGAGCCCACAGTAGGTACATACTTTAAAATCTGGTTTTATGATCGTGTTTGTCTAACTTAGTTGGGCTCTACCAATTAAAATTGCAAAGTCTACAATGAATTTAGCATGATTAATTTGAAAACAAAAACAGGACAGTTAATTTTTTTTTTTAGACACATGTATGCTATTTGTACCGGGAATAACTTCTACAAATATAATTTTAAACATTTGAGACATTTTATTGTTCAAAGAAAAGTTGCTGACTTCATCACAACTATAAGCCTAGTAAAAACAGAGCCCAGAATAGTAAACTGGTTCAGAGCTGAGGCAGAAACAGGTAACCTCTGACCTCTGACTTTTACTGGAAAATGATATGCAGCATAAATCCAAGGGGCCTTTTTTCTTTCAAGTGTGTGTATGTATGTGTTATGGTGTTGCCGTTCACAGCGCTATAGTTAAGATGGTGTCAGCACTTTCAATATAAAGCCCTACTTTCATAACTCTACTTACACTATGAGTTTTCAAAAAGGTGTAAATGGAATCTAAATTCTTTTTCCTGTAGCCCAAAATTGCTACATGGGGTCACAGCCTAGTGTTTGGCTTCTTTTTCTTTTTCATTTCTTGCTTTTCAAAACTTATATCATCTGAGAATAGGTATAGTTCAGCTGTTGCATTGAAGGCTTGCAAACTGCTGAAATGCACTTGAATTTAAAACTGTAATGCATCAGTTTTCTCAAACATAATATGATAAGAGGATTTTCAGATAGCAAATGCCCAATACCAGTTCTTCCCCTCTGACACGCTGTAGCAAGTAATTAGGAATGTTGTATGATGCCTGTTCCTTCAACAAGTGTTCTCCAAAGGCCTATTTAATAATTTGATTGTAACTAAGAACTCTATATTCTTCATATTACTAACTTTCCACTTGGAAAGTTTCTTTCTATATTTTTTCTTTTTATATTTGAGTCCAACACCTAGTTGTTTTTAAGACATTTTCAGGTAAATTATCTTATTTGAATGATCTCAGCTGAATCATTTTTAAAAATCCTGGGTAGCAGATTAAGTAGGTGTAGCCCCATTTGACAGATGAGAAGAATAAGGGCATGGAGAAGCTGAATGATTTGGTGAGGTCCCAGTGGAGCGTCAGACCTAAACTTCCAGTTTCCCAATGACTAAAATAAGCTTCTTCTCATCAGACCCTCTTTCCTCATCTCTACCAAAAAACTACAGTCAATAACTTCCACTGTCATCAAATAGAAAGTTTCTGTGCTGGTTTCCCCTACCCCACTTTTCTGTGCTTGCTAACAGAGGCTGTTGGGAACCCCACCTTCAGACTTATTTGTCCTTCCTTGTAGGTTTTCCTTGGCGGTTGAATTTATTTCTGCTAAATGCAGAATGATGCCTGAAAGTGTGGCTGCAACAACTTATGCACATTTCCATGCCCACCATGACCCTTCTAAACCTTTTCTTCATCCCTGAGACCTGCAGAGTTTGGTCTTTGTGCAGCATTCAGATTAACTGTGCACAGTGGCTTTTCCATGTTTTCCCTGTTTGCCTTTTCTGGCAGGCATGGAAGTGTAAGCTGTGCCAGCATTTGGCCTGTAGTACATGTCCTAAATAGTTATTTACACAGTTTGAGTCCATTTTAGTCAACTGGGTAAATAACAGCCCTCTTCGAAAGATTTATAAATCCATAAATATGTCTTTATACATACCCAATAGACAGAAATAACTCAATCTGCCAAGAACATATCCAAAGAGGTGTTTCCCCCACAGACAGGAGTAATATATATTTTAAAACTTTCTCTGCTGTATTATTTGTACTGCATTTCTTTCTTCCTCATTCCTTCTCCATTTTTACCACTTCATTCTGGTACCTGTGTCACAAAAAGAAAATGAAAAAAAAAAAAAAAAAAAGAAAAAAGAAGAAAAAAGAAATCCCTTAGGCTTTAGTCCCTGTTAAATAACCTTATCTGCTGCACAGTGGAGGCATGTAACAGGCTATATATATCTTAACTGAGTCCTCTTCTTTTGAACTTTCAAAGTAAATAAAATGAAATAAGTTATGCAGAAAATTTTAAATTTTCCAACAGATTTCAAAATGTAAGAATTTCTTGTTAGAGTTCCAGCAATTTGGGGAATTTTGAGTGCCTGATAATTTGCTGAATTAGTAGCTGTTGTGATCACTGAAAGAGTTTCAGTACACATTTTTACCTAAACATTAAAAAAAAAGAAATACAAAATCCATGACTGGGCACAGTGGCTCACGCCTGTAATCCCAGACTTTGGGAGGTGGAGGCGGGTGGATCACAAAGTCTGGAGTTTGAGACCAGCCTGGCCGACATGGTGAAACCTCATCTCTGTTAAAGATACAAAACTTAGCTTGGTGCTGTGGTAAGCACCTGTAATCCCAGCTACTTGGGAGGCTGAGGCAGGAGAATCGCTTGATCCTGGAAGGTGGAGATTGCAGTGAGCCAAGGCTGTGCCACAGCACTCCAGTTTGGGTGACAGAGCAAGACTCCATCTCCAAACAAAGAAAAAAAGAAAAAAGAAAATCCAATCGTGGGCATTCTAAAGAGAATGTACGTAAGATATGTAATTAAGAAAATACCAAAGATATTTTGTGAAATAAATTCTAAAGGTATTTATTTCATTCAGGGATTTAATGTTTATTCATGATTTACACAGTATGTCTTTTCCTCAATTCAAATTATCATGACAACTTTTTTTAATGATATCTACTTCCATTCAATATTAATACTTGTGGCCCTTGCAGGAGATTGATTCTTTAATAGTAAAGTCCTTTTCAGTTGGCATTTAAGAGGGAAAGCCTCACATCTGTGTTTGGTTGGGGATTCTGTTGCTGTTGCTACAACACTGATTTTGTTTACTCTTTAACTTCCTCAAAGCACTTCCAAAGATACCAGATTGAATCCTTATTTTATCCCTGGCAATTATTTGCTTTGTTTTCCCATTTTACAGAAGAAAGAGGTAATAGCTCAGAAATATTGAAGAGTGAGTAACTGTCAAAGTCAGCTTCAAGATCTTGGTCTCTTGGCTTTAGAACTGCTTTAGGGTGGGGTGTCTGTTTCCAGGGCTGCCAAGTAGTGTCTCATCATAGGAGGTACATGATGGCAGAGATGTGTGGCTTTCATGTGTCTTTTGCATCCTACTGTGCATGGCTGCCCACTCTGGAAACTGTGTGATTTGCAGTAGGGGAGCTTCAGGCAAATTGGGTCCCTCTTCCACCTAGATTTTTACTGCTCCTCCAGAGGCCTGCCACAGCCACTCTATGCCTCTTAAGCAGTTTCAGCTACGATTGACCACATTTTTGAGTTTGGACAGGTCTCTCTTTTTGCTTTAAAGTTAAGAGAGGTAAATAAATGATGGTAAAAGATAGCAAAATAGGATATGAAGGGCCATCAGTCAGTGTAGATATTTCTGTCCCCTCACTTTTTGGGTGAGGTCATGGAGGCTCAGAGCGATAAGGAGACTTGTCAAAGGCACTGGTTGGTGCTCCAGTTGGGACTTGAACCCATGCAGTCTGACTCTAGAGCCCAAGATCCTAACTGTGATGTCCTATTTGATACACTGCTTTCCTGGAGAAAGAGACCATTTGACAGACATTCTTTCTGTTACCAGTTTGACAATTCTTTCCCCAGTTGTCTGTACTGAACCTGGCGCTGTGCTGCCTTAATGGTGACCTAGCTATGAATACGACAGAATTGCCTTAGACTCAGAGGGGTAAAGTTCTGCTGAGGAGGGAGAACGTAGTTTTGCATGCAGAGTGGAATGATGAATGAAGTATTTACAAAGGGAGCATGATGACTGATATGATTCACTGGTATTATGTATTAAGAGCCTATATCATTTCACTCATTCGAAGACTTAGTGAATTAAGAATAGAAGCATGGGAACAAGTAAGGATGTTGCTCTTGCAGAACATTTTCCACTTAAAGCTCATCATATTTTCCTCTTTTGTGAGGATCAAGAAAAAGTATTTTTCTACATGGAAATTTGATGTAAAACATTTTAACCCTAAAAGCTTTTAATGATTGCTGGAATCTCTAAAACCCACTTATGAACCTCTCCTTTGGGGCAGGTCTCAGAAAAACAATAGTACCACTTAAAAAAAAGAAAGAAAGAAAGAAAGGCAAAGCCAGCATGCCAGCATGTTTCTTTAAAGAAAAATA